CTAGACTCAGTTTTGTTTTGTTTTGTTTTGTTTTGTTTTTGGGTAAAGTTAGTTTTGCTCATGTTTGTTTTTGTTTGATGGATAGTAGCAAAACTGGCAAGAGGTAATGAGACTGTCCACAAAATATATCTTACTGGGACATAATAAATGGCTGCGACTAACCTCATCTACAGTGACTATAATGCTCAGAGACTGCAAAGGGACCTGGGTGGGAACAGGCACTGCAAGGGCACAGTCAACACTGACCCCAAGGCACAGCCACCTGCCCATTCTCAGGGTGCAGCCCGCCACCCGTGGAATCAGTCTTGTGAGCAGCGAGGGGCTGGGAGCCCTTTTTAAAAAGGTCCTCTTTATGAAAGCAAGTACTTTAGCAGCTGTGGGAAGAAGAGGAATTACTGCTTCCTTCCCTTTGTACAGATTTTGGGGGCATGATGGTGAGAAATACCAATATCAATTGGTTTTCAAACAGAATGTAGTGGCTCTTGCTGTTTTTCTGGGAAGAACTTTTGTAGCGAGCCACTCACTAGGGGTTCATACAAACCCTAGTTGTATGAAATAGGTAAGTCCCTGGACTTTATTTCCAATTAGTTTTTTGTAAACAATGAAATAGTTGAAGTAACCACAAAAGCACAGAAATATTGTAGTATAATCAACAGCCATTATATTTAACACATCTAAAGATTTTGGAATACACATTTCTTTCAGATATATTATTTTAAGGATAACTGAACTGATTATAGACTCAAAGTGACCTTGTTATTCATTTCTGACCTAAATTCCCATGTCTTATTCCTCAGAGCTGTATTAGGTGTATTTTTATTCAATTACTACAGATTTACTTTTCCATAAACAATATTACTGTTGTCTTGAGCAGTTCTAAACTTCACAGAAGTGGCACCATGGCATATAAATCATTTACCAACTTGCTTTTAAAAAAAAAAAAAAAAAAAGATTTATTTATGTATACAAGAGCTGGGGTGTAGGCCAGAGTGCAGTGAGTGAGAAGATTCACCATAGACTGAGTGGGGAACAGAACAGGCGGATTGACTGAAATACACTGCTGAGGGGAGCAGCAAGTGAGACAGGAAAGGTCTGTTGCACCATATCGGTCACCTCCCTGGCCAGGGATCAAACTCGAGCTGCAGTGGCTGCAGATTGCTTCATAGTGCTGACACTTAACCCTTGCGCTACCAGGGAGGCCCCACAACTTGCTTTTTTAATTGAATATTGTGCTTTAAAGATTTACACATATATAGCTCTGATTCTTTTTAACTTAATATATCACTTCCCAGTGAGTAGAAATACTATAATTTACCCACTTTACTGTTGAATAGGATGCTCTCCCTAGCTTTTTGCTCTTACAAACAATGCTACAACGAATGTCTTTATATACATCTTCTTGTGCAGCTGTATGAGGATTTCCTAATGGATAAATATCTAGAAGTGCAGTTGTTGAGTTTTAGGGCAAATGTACGTTGAACTTTATTGAATACTAAATTGATTTGTCAAGTGGTTATATCTATTTATATTTCCATCAGCACTATATGAAAATTCTTGTTTTTCTTTATCCTTGTGAGTATACTGCCATGCAGCATTCTCAAATTGTTTAAGTTTTGTTAACATTGTTGGTTATGACATGGTATTTTATTTTATATTTCTCTCATTACTGGTCCTAACCAGCTGCTTTGCATGTTTACTGGAGGCCTTGTAAATTTTTCTTAACATTAAAGTTTTGGATGAGTAATGTTTTCATATGTTCAAGAATTAAAGCAGTATATTAAAATACATATTGAAAGGTGTTATTTCTATGCTGCACTCAGCCACTCTTATTTATTGGTTTCTTATTTATCTTTCTAGTGCTTGTATGCAAATAGATGCAAACGTCAAAAATAAACCTTGCTTCTTCCTACTTCTTTCTATGCCCTGGAGATCTTTCCATATCAATGTGTACTTTTTCACACCTTCTACTTTTAGAAGTATCACAGATTATTTAACCAGGCTTCTCCTGAGGAATACTTGGGCTGTTTCCATTCTTGGTTACTAACAACAGTGCTGTAATGAATACCCTGGTTCTTGTTCTGACTCACCTCTAGGATACATCCTTAGGACAGAGGATAAATAGTTTTGTAATTTTTGATAGATATTTTGATCTGTATCACCAGATTCACTCTACTGGGGGAGAAAAATGGCACCACTTTGCATCCCCATAGCAATGTATACGCAAGAGTGCCTTTTCTCCAATAGTCTTGATGACAAATTATAGTCTCAAACTTTTGTTTTACCAATTTGTTGGGGTAGGGGAAATTAGTATATAAGTACATCTTTATTTCTGTGTGTGTGTTTTTTTTTTATCATGAGTGACGTTGAACATCTTATCTAGGGGTCCTTTGTATTTCCTTTTTGTGCAGTTATTCTATTCTTCTATTGACTTGTCTTATTGATTTCTAAGAGCTATTTGTATATGTGTGGATTTAATCCCTTTTTCTCAGATATAAATAGCAAATATTTAACTCAGTTTTTCATTTATTTTTACTTGTGAAGTTATGTGACATGCAGATTTTTTTCCTTTATATGTAATTAAATTTCTTAATCACTTTTGGAGGGATCTTGATTTTGAGTCATAGTTAGAAAACTTTCCCCTCTCTAAAATTATAGAAAAGTTTTCCTATCAATATTTTTGCTTTTATATTTTCATATTGACATTTAAATGTTTGATTTATTTACCGTTTATTCTGATGGTAGACATAAAGTATAATTTTTTTCCATATGACTTCCAAGTTGTCTCAGTTTTTTTTTTTTTTTTGTATTTAAAGAGCAAGTTTATTAGAAAAGAGATAGGACAATAAAAGACACTTGCATAGATGCAAACGGGCAGAAAGAGCTGCCTCAAATTTTTTTTAACAAAGTTTAGTTTTACACCAATGCATTTGGTTTTGTTTTGGCTTTTCTATTCCTTTCATCTACCTCTTCATGCTTTTATAATTATGGAAGCATTATACTACATCTTAATTCTATATTTCCTGTTTTATTGCGTGTTTTTGCAAAAAAATGTTTTGAATTTTATCAAATTCTTTTCTAGCATCAGTGGAGAGCATATATTTTCTTAGATCCAGTCTGTGTTAATAGAGTTTCTAATAGTGAGCCATCTTTGCATTCTGAAATAAACTTTCCTTGGTTGTAAGTATTCTTTTAATGTGTTAATTGATTATTGCTAATTTTCTGTTTAGGGGTTTACATTGATATTCAGAAGTATAGTAGGTCTATAAATTGGTTTATTTGTTTTATCTTTATCAGCTTTTAATAACAATGTTAGACTGAAAACACAATATTAGAAATTAAGACCTAATTGTACTCACAGCTGAGATATAAATGTATCAATATAAATTCCACAAATTGAAGCCCAGAAAGAAAAAAAATAGGAAAAAGTGAAAAAAAAAATAGAGAGCAAAAGCCAATTGGGATACATTCAACATAGTTGTAATTGGATTCTTAGAAAGAGAGGGAAAGAAGAATGGAATAAAATTGCCTGAGAGAGAATGGCTGGGAACTGTCTAAAAATTGTGATAATATGGATCCACGTTTTTACAAAGCTCAGCAAACCCTTACGGGTTATAAATACTGCTGAAAACCAAAACAGGGAAGAAAAACACATTACCCTAAAAGACCTACCAATAATTATGATGGAATATTTTTCAGCTGAAATTATGGAAGTCAGAAGACAGTAAAATAGCATTCATTCCAGGGATGAAAGAAAAAAGTTAATTTAGAATCCTTTACCCATTGCAATGTCCTTAAAAATTGAAGACAGAACAAAAATACTTGTAAACAATAAATAATACTGAGAACCCCTCCTGCATCATATGAAAGATGCCAATCCATTGCTTTTTCAGTTTCTATTGTTACAGTTGACAGACAGCTATAATTTAAACTGTGGCTCCTTTGAAGATGTCTTATTTTCACTGGCTGTTCTTTGAATTTTCTCTTTGTCTTTGATTTTCAGTTTGACTGCATGTTGATTTGTGAAGTTATGAATGTAGCACTAATTACAATAGCCAGCACAAGAAAGCAGCCTAAACATTCATTGACAGAGGGTTAGATCAAGAGATGTGGTCTTTCCACATGATGGAATACTATCCACCCATAAGGAAAGATGAAGTACCGCCATTTATGGCAAAAATGGGGGGAGTTAAGGGGTATCATGTGGAGTAAAGGAAGTCAAACTGAAAAAGACAAATACTAGACATTTATATAGCAGACCATTTAACAACACAAGAATACTGAAAAACCTAGTGGACATTATTAAATGAGGTGAGGATTCTGAGGTGAAGAGGGTGCAAGGAGGGAGAAAGGAACAGGATGTAAGGGATATGGGTGGGGGGGGGAGACAATGTAAATAAATTAGAAAAATATAGGTGAATAAAAAAATAGAAAATTGAAAAGTAAAGTTGTTGAGTCAGTAAAAAATGCTTTGGTGGATTCCATCTTTATTGGTGTTTCTCTGTGTCTCAAAAATGATGTAATCTGCACATTGTATATACAGAACCATCATTAGTTTGTCTAAAATTACTTATTTTTTGCTACCTACTAGGAACCTTACAGGTAACACACAGAAATCTACATTTTTAAGAAAGTCTGTGTAATTATTGTTAATTCAGTTCACACTACATGAATGCAACAAATTTGGTCAGAACAAAGAAAAAAAATAAAGATATTAAAAAGAAGAAGTAGCAAAACACAACAATTCATATTATATATGTATTTTTACCGCAGCCAATCAAGAGAATTTGATTCTCTGTACCTGTAACAAGAAACAAAATTTAAGTTTTCTGATCATGTCTGATCTCTGGATTGATGGAGCATAAAAAAGAATAAAATGTCTTATGCTGATGTTACATTCTCCACCTTCATCTTGGAGGGGGCCTGGGGAATGTTGGGAGATAGCCTAGTAGCATCATTCTAGAATAAATCTAAAAATGTGTCTATAATTTGTTAATTCCTAGGTGAAAAAGTATTTATATCTCTATATGGAGCTGCTGTAGACGTGAATATAAGACTGGATAAGAACTCCTTGATCCTTGAGAAAACCTACATATCTCTGGCCAGTCAGCGGACTGTCACTATTCACAACCGCAGTAACATCATCGCCCATTTCCAGTGGAAGGTATTTGCTACCCAGGAAGAGGAGGACAGAGAAAAGCACAGGTTTGTGAGAAAAATCACCTCTATGCTAAAATTGGTGGGGGGGGGACTCACAAAACTCATTTAGTATGAAAAATCAGTGAGATTGGTAGTAAGGTTTTAGCTAAAATGATGTCAGATTTTTATATTTTGTTTTCTATGTATGATACTCCATTGGAAAAGTTCATTTAAAGAGCTGGAGCTGAGTTATGTGGCACAAAATGTTGTCCATCCTCAGTTAGTCTTGACTTGGTTATAATTTATCAGTAGCTAAACTCCTAGATTTTAAAGACCAAATATATCATTGTTCATTATTCTTTCGAAATAAAGCCATGGGTCTGTATTTCTTTCCATGACCTTAGCCAGACTGACCAGATTCCTAAAAATAATCTCTTTTGGATTGGGATCAATGTAGAATTTTTTTTTCCCAGTGAAAATATGTTTTGAAAAAATAGGAAGAACAAGGAAAAAGAAAGACTTAGCTATGACAGCTTTTATAGTCTCAGTTTTATCAGCATTGTTAAACCCACGCTCATCATGCAGTTTAATCATCACTTCTCGTTGGTATCTTTAATCTTCTGCTTTCAGAATGATTTTCCAGGCAATGGAGAACATTTATAAAATGGAAAACCACACGGTCTTAATTAATCTCATCACTTCAATTTTGAATACTTCTCTTTCTTGAGGCCTGTCCTTGCCTTTTTTAAACCCCATCTTCATTTTTCTCTTCTTCCATCCTCCTGAATGAGCACGTCTGCTGTGTTCACGGAAGTTATTTCAGCCTTTTTTATTTGCCTCTCCATTTTCATTACCCCGGGAAGCTTCAAAGCTTTGTTTAAAACCAAGTTAGCATGTGATAAAAATAAGTCTCAGGTCCATGGAAGCCAGACACCAGTCCCCCAGCGAGCCATCCCTAATTGAATCAGGAGCTGTGACAATGACAGGACACTGTGGACCAGAAGCTTTGTCATTCATACAATGAGCTTTAATCACTGTATCGCCACTGTGCCATCTTTAAAAAGTGAGAAAAGAAAAGCTTTTGCCAGCCCCAAACTTCGTTTTGCCTCACGGTATAGAAATACCAGCCCTTCAAATTGGCGAGAGGAAGCTGTTCCTTCAGTGCACTCCGTGGGTCCTGGTTCTCCAGCTGACATGGCTCACTGACAGCTGGGACGGCCCATAGGACAGGAGAAGAGACGCCAACGACGAGGCGGTATACGGGCAGTGTTTCCACAGCCTCCTGACCAGTGCTGGAACCTTGGGGAGAACATGCGCGCCCCGTGAGGAGGAAAGCCAGCTTCTGCAGTCTGTGTCGCTGTGTTGGACTGCACAGGACGTGATTGATGTCATGTCAGTGTCCAAAAAAGTATTTAAGACAGTTCTTCTATTTAAAGAAAAATTATTTATTTATTTATTTATTTTCTTACATTGTTGTTCACTTTCGGGTGGTATTTGGATTCTCCCCTCAGGTGTAGTCCCCGCAGTGCCCATGATCTGTGTGCACAGTCCCTGCCTCTTCCCTCCCCTATTTTGACCCCTCCCTCTCCCCTCCCCTGCTGTGTGCCTCAGATCTATGGTCAGGTTGCAAGTTTTGTCTCTTTTAAGACCATTATTTTCAATAGTGAAACTCAAGAAAATGTCCAGCCAGTCACTATTAGAGGGACTAAGACAGAGCCCTTGCATCACTCTCTCTCTAATAGTATCCTTGATTCTTTTACTTCCTTTTCTCTTGTTTTGTCTCTTTTTTCTCCCCCAATGTTTTTTATTGTGGTGAAATCCATAACGTAAATGTTCACCGACGCAACCATGTGTAAGCGTACAGGCCAGTGGTGTCCAATGCAGTGACGATGTGCAGCCGCCACCACCATTCATCTCCACGACCCCTTTCACCTGGGAAAACTGAAACTCCATACCGTCTAAGCAGTCACTGTGCAGGCCCCACCCCCAGGCCCCTGGCAACCACCATTCTACTTTCTGTCTCTGGGATTTTTGACTACTTTAAGATCACAAAAAAGTGGAATCACACAGTGTTTGTCTTTTTTTGTCACTGGCTTATTTCACTTCCCCATGGAGGAGACTGTAGAATGTCCTTCCTTTTTAAGGCTGAATAATATTCTCTCATATGTATGTGCCACATTTTGCCTCTTCATCTGTCAAAAGACACCTGGTTAGTTCCACATTTTAGCAGGGGGAATGCTGCTGTGAACATGGGTGTGTGCATTCCTCATCAAGGCCCTGCTTCCCGTGGAATTGCTAGATAAAATGGCAATTCTACTTTGAATTTTTTGAGGACCCATCATGACAGCAGCTGTCATTTCTTACATTCCTATCAGGGGCATAAGGACTCCAATTTCTTCAGTCTACTCTTAAAGATTCAGTACAGGTGCTTCCTCTAAAGAAAGCCTGGCCCCCCATCTCCTCCTGCTGGGGTGGGCGCCCCAAGGTATTTCCACAGTTCTGATAAACTGATGTGTCTTTAGCTCCAGTTCAACACTTAGAAAGCAAGTTTCTTGTATTGTCTTCCTTTTACTCTCTCTCTTGCTCTTTCTATCAGTTCCTGTAGCATTTTTTTTTTTTAGCAAGGGAACAATAGGATAGTGTTTTCATAACCATGATTGGAAGCCTTATTTTATCATGTAGGATCATGCCTCTCCTATGTGATGAGCTGACTTCAGGTGATTCAATAAGAATTGCTGCATTTTGGGCCTCCCCTGGTGGCGCAGCGGTTGAGCGCTGGGTTGCGAAGCTGCCCGCAGCCTCTGCAGCGTCGGTTCGATCCCCGGCTGCTCCCCGGCCACCAGAGGAGGGTCCCACATGGCGCGCAGACCTCTCCTGCCGCCCGCTGCTCCCCTCAGCAGTGTACTTCGGTCCTTCTGCCTGCTCTGGTGAATTTTCTCACCCTCCCGTGCTTCTGACTGTACCCAGTGCTTGTATAAATAAATCTTTAAAAAAAAAAAAAAAGAATTGCTGCATTTTTACTTTGGGTGACACATATCAGTGTAACTCATGTCTCTCCAAACTGGATCGGCTAATTAATCTAAGTAAAGTGAGGAGTGAAAGTGCTGCCTTTCCTCTTTCTCTCCCCTCTCCAAGGGCCAGTTGCTGAGGGCAAGAGGAGAAGAGCTTTAGAGGGAAAAAAAAAGGAGTAAGCCATTTGCCCTACTCTCCTGTTTGACTAGGGTGTCTCATCTCTCTCATGCCTTCCTGTTCCTTGATACATCCCCATTCATGCTGGGACTTTCCTATTAGTAGCCTTGGGTTCTTGTTCCAGGATGTCACTGGCCACAGAATGCCTATTCTCTTGAAAGGCAAGGTAAATGCAGAGAAGTTTGTCGTTTCCTGAACATTTAGTTCCCGTCCCTGCCCCGTGCAGGTAGCAGTAGTGTTGCTATGTCTGGCGCCCCCTCTTCCTCCACCTCAAGTCCTCAGCCTGGGTCGCAGTGGCAGCAGTGGCAGATAAGCAGAATGTTCTTTGGTAGCTTGCTTATGGCCAGAGGTTTGCTCAATTCTGAGCAGCAGCAGTGGACTCTTTAACTAATGGGGTACACCCTCCCTCCAGCTCCCGGGCAAGACCAGTGGCATCCCTGGAATCTTGCTTTTATGTAGGACTCTTCTCCTCTTGATGGTGAGCAGTCCCTTCCTTCCTCCTTCTTCTGGCAGCAGCCTCTGTAGTTAAATATGTTGAGAGAAAGATCAACTTTCATCCTGAATTTGGAGCAGAGAGAATCTAGTCTAAAAGGGCTCATGAATGCTTTTGGAGACTAAGGTTTCTCTTCTCAGTACCCCAAGGGCCTAAGATTTAAAACTGAAGTGTAAATTTTTATGTGAGATGTAAGAGTCTGCTTGCTGCTCTCGGGCTAGAGCAAGGTTTAGAGCATGTTCTGAGGCATCGGCTACAGGCGCTGGTAGCCCGTGTCCCCCAGCGTCTCAGCGATGCACCCGAGCAGACCTGGATGTCTCCTCTCAGTGGAGGAGTTTCAGTCCTTCTCCAGAACAGGAAGGCCTCGTCTTTTTTGGCAGTTTACCATTTCTGTTCCTCTCCGCCTGCAGCATTTTGGTAAAAACCTCAGGACACATGGCCAGATTTGGGGTCCATCAGGCAAATTTCAGGTTCCAAACTCTGACAGGTGTACACTTTAAATTTCCACTAAACCTACACACACACACACATACATTTTGTTTTTGTTTTTGTTTTTTTTTAAACATTTATTTATTTATACAAGCACTGGGTACAGTCAGAAGCGCGGGAGGGTGAGAGAATTCACCAGAGCCAGAGCGGGGAGCAGAGCAGACAGAAGGACCGAAGTACACTGCTGAGGGGAGCAGCCCCGGGGCAGGAGAGGTCTGCGCGCCATGTGGGACCCTCACCCTGTGGCTGGGGATCGAACCGGTGCTGCAGAGGCTGCGGGCAGCTTTGCAACCGGGCACTCAACTGCTGTACCACCGGGCAGGGCCCACATACACATTTTGAATCAGATAGAGAGACCTTCAAAAAATTACCTTTAAAGTCCCTCTGTTTCTTGATGTTTTCCTGGGACTTATAGAGAAATGGTTCTCTTTAGAAATGGAGGCTGCATTTATCTCTCTTCACTCCCTCCACCTTGTCCTGATGGGTTATAAAACATTCCACAAGATTCTTTCATACTCATTCCCATCAGATTTCTGCTCCCTATTTCTCCATCAAGGTCATGGCCATACCAATGGGCACTAATTCTAGATTTGCTCTATCCAAGAACTCCGGGAGTTCTCAATGGAGCCTTCACAGAGTGGACAGCTTGGATTTTTTTCCCCCACAGCATTTCTGGTATTGGAAATGCTAATGATGTGTTTCTTTTCTTTTTTTTTTTTTTTTAAATATTAAATTTTATTTTTATATTCCCCCATACAATTGCAAACGCCCCATTCTGACCCCAATCCTTCCCCTCCCGCCCCCCACCCCCCAAAAAGTGTCTCTGGTTCATAGTTTTTTGTTGATTTTGATTTTCACTTTCTTATATTCATTTTCCTGGTCCCTTATTTAAGTT